CACCTTCAGCCCATTCCTTGTGAAACCATAGTCTCTCCATCTGGTCTGGTTGACCCTTGGCTGAAAAAGCCAATCTTCCTACATGATTGATGGTTTGACTGTAGATCTAGAGCTTTGCCTGACAAGAACAAATAAAAGACAAATTGTAGGTGCTTCGGTTGTCGCGGCAGGAACTCCTATCATGCCATCATCTCTCTTGTCCCCAAATGTGCGGAATGCCTGAAATACCGAGGTAATTGAAAGTGGTGCATATACCTCTGGTTGCTCAGATATTAATGGAAATTGCCTCCTACTGTGGTTGCTTTCTGGCTCGGTGTTCTGAAAGAGAAACAGGTCATTCTATTCCTGGCACAGTATTGAATACACTGTAACTAGTCCATCAAGAAGAAAATTCTCAGTAGACTGGTAGATAGTGAACTATGGCTGCTCAGTTCTGCTAATACTATTCTAAGAATGGCCCAATCTCCCCCCACCCTCTCCTCTTCTTCTCATTTCTTCATTGTCTTCTCTTCTCTTGCCTCTCCTCCCTTCCCTCTCCTACTTCAGAGAGAGAGGTAGATACACCTGAACACACAGTTCATCTGGTACCCAAAGTATGTAACCTCTTAGTTTATGTTCTTTCTAGAGGCCCAGTGCAAGAATTCATGCATGGGTGCAATCCAGCTGGCCCACTCTGATTGGGCCAATCCGGCCAGGCTGGCTGCGGGGGAGGGGATGGGAGAGGTTGGCCAGTCTGCCCCGCCCCCAATGGAGGGGGCAATCGGGGGCAGGGAGGCCAGGGGAGGGGCCTCAGGTGATTAGCCAGCTGGCCCCATCCCCTGGTCGAACTCCTGGTCGAGGGGACAATTTGCATATTAGCCTTTTATTATATAGGATGATGACCACCTCCACTAGCTATTGTACTTCTCTTAACATATGATCCAAATGCTTACGGTGGGTTAGTGTGTGTCTGTGAGTTTGTGGGTATAAGAAATTTTGGTGGGTATAGAGCAAATTATAAATTGTGGGGTTCAAAAATATTTATTAATACTTATCTTAATCAAAAGGAAAAGTGATTGATATTTATGTGCAGACACATAATAAGCTGTTTCAGGGGATGCTGGGTAATCTAGCTGCTCAGCCTCCACAGCTCTGAGTGGCCACTTACCAGCAGGACGGGTTCACAATTCCCATATGAAGCTGAGATTAGCCATGACCTACCCAGTGGAGAGGGGGGCCTCAATCAAGCTAGTTGCCTAGTCTAGCTAGTCACTGAGCAGAGTTTGTCATTTGTCAGATATTTCTGCTTGCCATTCTGTACCCCCAACATACCCCACCTGAACACCAAGAACCTTCCCTCCATTTCAAGGGGATTACAAGGGCCTTGGGCTGGTAGGTTCAAGGGCACTACAAGGGCCTTAGGCTGGTAGGCGTGGGAGGAAAGTTCTGCACAGAGCTGATGGGATGGGGCTCACTGAATCTCAGGGCATTGACAAGCAGCACACCTTTCGGTCCATGATTAGGAAGTTGGTGCTGCATCACGGGAGGCACTGGCCAATGCAATTAGGAGGTCATCCGAAGCAGCTTCTCTGCCCAGGCGACTTGCAGGGCCACTTCTACTGAGTGATGATCTGTAGGATATGGCTGGGCTCCCATGTACCTCTCTGAAGCTGGTGATGGTTAATGCACCAGCCAATCCCCTGCCCCCCTCTGTCCCTTCCCCCTCCACCACCTAAGGTCCAGGTGATTTTAATCTCAGCACTTTCTACCTTCTCCTCCAAGACTCTATCCCAGTGGTTCTCAACCTTGGTTACACATTAGAATCACCTGGGAATCTTTTTAAAATCCTGATTTCTGGGCCTCCTCCTCCGGAAATTCTGTTTCTTTGTTATGGGGTGAGGCCACAATATTAGTAACGAAGAAGCAGAATTTCTGGAGGAGGAGGCCCAGAAATCAGGATTTTAATAAGATTCCCAGGTGATTCTAATGTGCAGCCAAGGTTGAGAACCACTGCTCTATCCCATCCTCATCCAGATGGCCCTCACCTGGCCTGAGGCAGAGAGGGAAGGGCAGGCAAGAAAATTCTCACACTCCCTCTAGTTTTTTTTTTAATTTATTGTTTAAAGTATTACATGAGTCTTCCCTCTATTTTCTTTGCAATCAGTTTTCATGGCATAAATAGTCCTTCTAGCTTCCCTCAAAGCCCTCTCTTTAGCTATTTAAGACTTTATTTTGGAAATCTCAAATATTTTTAAAGATTTAACATTGTAAGTTACTTTCTCCTTGCAGACCCACTGACTCAAACCTAATTCTCTTATAGACAACTAGAGGCCCGATGCATGAAATTCGTGCAAGAGTAGGCCTTCTTTCCCCCAACTGCCTGCACTGGCTTCCCTCTGACACCTGGGACCCGGGCTTCCCTTGCAGCCCCAGCTTCATCCAGAGGTCATCCAGAAGGACATTTGGTCTAATTAGCATATGATGCTTTTATTATTATAGATTGTGAATGTCTCTAACTAGAGGAAAGGTCAAATATAGGAATGTTCAGGGGGGAAAAAGGCATGAAATTACATATTTCAAGACAGCATTTCACTACAACCTCATTCACTGCTCCCCTCCTTCTCCAACTGCTCATTAATCCCTTACTTCTCCTTCACTAACTCTGTGAAACATCTTTCTCAAACTTTAGCTGTCAAATCTTCTAGTTACAGGCCTCTTTCTCCTGTAGCATTTGACAGTGCCAACTACGTCTTCTGACTCAGTTAGGAAAGGGTTGGGGGAGCATAAGTAGTAGACACCTAACTCCAAGTTAGCTTAAGACAAGAGGAGAAATTACTGGAAAAATACTGATCTCTCTTCTACCAAATGAAGTACTTGTTCAACTCTTTGTTTTGAGATCTGCACCTGGGTTTGGCATTTTCAAATCTATCCCCCTATCCAGGGCAGAAATTAACTTCATAATAAACTCTAACAAATGTAGTTGGACTCAATTAAACATTTCTGTAATTATTGTTTTCAATCAATGTAAACCTACCTCCCTGTAACTTGCACATATTATATCTGAGTTGTCACTCGAGGACTATTTGGTATACAAAGCTGGACCTAGGTGAGACCTGGGTACAGCCATTGTGGAATACTGTATGGAGGTTCCTCGAAAAGTTATAAGTAAAACTACCATATGATCCAGCAATCCCCCACTTGTGGGTGTATATCCAAAGGAACTGAATTCGGGATCTTGAAGAGATACCTGCACCCTCATGTTCATTGCAGCATTGTTCACAATAGTCAAGATATGGAAACAACCTAAGTGTTTGACCATGGATAAATGGACAAAGAAAATGTGGTATTGATATACACTGGAATGCTATGCAGCCTTTAAAAAAGGAGAAGAAGGAAGCCCTGGCCAATGTGGCTCAGTTGGTGGAACATCATCCTCAGATGGAGGTTGCTAGTTTGATTCCCAGTAAAAGGAACTTGACCAGGCGAGGGGCTCAATCCCCTAGTAGGGGGTGTGCAGGAGGCAGCTGATCAATGTTGTGCTGTCTCATCCATGTTTCTCTCTCTCCCTCTCCCTTCCTCTCTCTCTGAAAATCAATAAACTATTCTTTTAAATCAAAAGAAGAAGAAGTAAACGAAGAAAAAGGAAAAAGAGAAGAGGAGAAGGAGGAGGAGAGGGGATACAGGGTCATTGCCACCAAAACAGTATTACAAGAAACATTAAAGAGTCTTCATGACCTGATGTGTTTATTGCCACAGCTATTACTTCATCTCCCTTGTTATTCATCACCACTCAATGTACCATCAGTTTGGGATTGTATGTTGGAGAAGAAGAAGGAGAGGAGGAGGAGGAGGAGGAGAAGGAAAAGGAGGAGAAGGAGGAGGAGGAGGAGGAGGAGGAGGGGGAGGAGGAGGAGAAGGAGAAGGAGAAGGAGAAGGACAACAACCAGCCGCCCAGCCAGTGTTGCTCAGTGGTTGAACATTGAACTGTGAACCAAGAGGTCACAGTTCGATTCCTGGTCAGGGCATGTGCCCAGGTTGCAGGCTCGGTCTCCAATGGGGGGCGTGCAGGAGGTAGACAATCAATGATTCTCTCTCATCATTGATGTTTCTATCTCTTTCTCCTATCCCTTCCTCTCTGAAATCAATAAATTATTTTAAAGAAAAAGGAGGAAACCCTTCTTTGTGACAATGTGGGTAGACTGGGAGGGCATCATGCTAAATGAAATAAGCCAAAAAAAAAAAACCTGTATTATCTTACTTACATGTGGAATCTAAAATAATCAAGTTGATAGAAGCAGAAGTTACAATGGTGGTTGCCAGGAGCTCAGAGGGACAAATGGGGAAATGATGGTCAAGGGTAGCAAGTGTCAGTTATGTAAGATGACTAAGTTCTGGAGATCCACTCTACAGCATAGCTGTAGCCATGTGCAAGATATAGTGCCGCTAGCTAACAATACCATAATGGATGCTTAAATTTTTCTAAAAAGGAAGATCTTATATTGTCTTCCTACAATAATAATAATGGGAGTAGGAGGAGACTTTGGGAAGTGATGGATATATTTATGGCCTCGATGGGAGTATGCTTCTCCTCAAAGTCATCAAGTTGTGGTATTCATGACACATGCACAGCTTTTTTTTTTATATGCTTTTATTGATTTTTTTGAGAGAGGGGAAAAGAGAGGGATAGAGAGATAGAAACATCGATGAGAGAGAATCATCAATAGGCTGCCTCCTGCACACACACACACACCCACACACACACACACACACCACTGAGGACCGAGCCTGAAACCTATGCATGTGCCCTGATCAGGAATCAAATTGATGACCTCTTGGTCCTGGGTAGATGCTCAACCACTGAGCCACACTAGCTGGGCATGCACTGCTTTTTATATGTCAATCACCTCAAAAAGTAGCTTAAAAATAAAAATATATTTTAAAAGAACTCATTAACCATTCTTCATGGGAATATTCTTTAAAGTTAAACATAATACAGATCAAAAATTTCCAAAGGATAGTATCTTCAATTAGTATTTTAATCATTGTCATTTTAACTAAAGTTTTGTTGCAATGTATTTATCAGTATCAGAAAAAATACAGAAATATTATTTGCATATAAAAAAGCATATTTTAAATTCCATTTAAACCCACTCATTTCATCTCCCACAGCTATTTTCTTTTTGTTTTGTTTTGATAAGGAATAAATTGAATGCCAATGCTTCAAATTGATCTACCTCTACGGCTCCCTGAAAAATCTCGGTGTGTACCCACATCAGAGAAAACTGTTCTCTATAACATGCAAGCATGCCATACAGGCATGAACGTGATGCTTCCTACCAAGGAAAAAGGGTGAGAGGGGCAAATTGCAGGTCTTGTGTTTGACTCATACTAAAAAAAAAAAACAACAAAGAAGACTGAGTTGTATGTGTTCTCAGACAAAAAGGCAGAAGCTGCCCATGCATAGAGCATGTTGAGTTTGGCACCGACAATTCATATTTCAATCTCCTGAAAGGACTCCTACATGAGCCAATAGGGTGAAGCACAGGTGTGCTTCTTGGGATGGAATGATTGCACCTGCCTTTTCCCATTCAAGGTCCCCTTTGTATTTGGTTTCACTGGGGGAGGCCCGCCTCTCTAATCTTCCTGTTTCCTAATCAATTTGCAGAGTGTGTTGGGGCCCCTGGGCGGGGCCAATCAGACTGGAAAGAATCATAGGCTTGAAGGGAGCAACCCTTTAATTTTCCCATTGAAAGTCAAGGTCCAGAGAAGTTAGCAACGTTTCCAAGAACATGCAGAGGCGCATGGCTATTCTCCATCCTGACTGATGTTTTAGGAAGAAGAGAACGAGGATCTGAGTCGGGTTTGGCTTAGGCAGGTGGCGGGGAGCCGAGGGGAGCAGGGGGCCCTGGAGGGATGGAGAGAGAATGCGCCTCCACCAGAGAGACGCTGTCTGAAGTGCTCAGTGACCTGATGTCTCAGTGCAGCCACAGCGGTGGCTGATCCCGAGCAAGCCAACAGCAGCCCGGCGCCTACTGGGGTCCCCCCTCGCAGGGCTCTATGCTGGTGACGGAGACGCTCTGTCCTCGACACATCAGGACACCAGCCTGGCACTCGGTCATCGTCCGCTTGGCGCCGTCCACGTCCACGCAGACCGTGCTGCCTTCCTCCTGGCACTCCGAGGCTTCTCTGCATTCACACGCACTGCTCTGGGCTGGAAAAGAAGCAAGACGGGCTCATGGGCACATCGTGGTGATGGCAAGTCGGGGCGTTCCCTCCATGTGGTGGTTAGCGACCCATGGGAGCTCCTGCTTCCAGCGATGGAACCCACCACCCCCTGGCACAGGACCAGGAAAGCCAGGCAGTTTGCTCCGCTCAGCATAGGCAGGTTTGGAAACTGGTGCCAAGCTTGCTGTTACTATCTGGAGCACGTGGGGCAATTCTCCCAAGGCAAGAGCTGTCCAGCTCTGTCCTAGTCCAGGGGGCCGTGCAAGGGAGTCAGAACCTGAGTAGGACCTTCAAGCTCCCCAACCAAATGAGGAGACCTCAGCAAAGAACTGGTTGGCAAGGGTCAAACAGAGACAAAGAACCAAAGAATTCAACTGGCGTTGAGAGAGAGGGCAGGCAGCACCAAAGGCCGCATATCCCCCACACAAAGCAGAAACAGGCTGTGCAGGGGGCTCTGAGTGCTCCAAGTGTCGAGGCTGGACTACACCAGCCAGGCGTCTCCAGAGGAGAATGACAAGGTCAGCCAGCCAACCGTGGTGACTGCCAAACCCAAAGTGACCCATACATGGCTAGAGTTACAAATGTCATTGTCTGTGCTGCGTACCCCAACTGGCAGACACCTTACAGATCCCACAGTCCAGCTCCCACACTTACAGTTGAGGAAGCTGAGGACAGGGACCCAGCCCTCCCCCCTTGGTGGTACAGCTGAAACCGTGCAAGGCAGGCCATGCCAGTGGTCATGGTCAGGCTCACTGTAAGTGCCTCTTGGACATAGCACTAAAAATACTGAATCACAACTTCTCGATTCCTTCCAGGAGAAAGTGTCAGCGTGGCACTGTGGGTTTTTAACACTAAACTCCTTTTCCCAAAGAAACAGCCTCCCTCAAGCTCCCAGCGCCACTGGCAAGACTCTACGACCTCATGTTGTTTCGTCATACATAGTTTGATAGTCACCTATACTTAGTGGCAAGTCACACTTCCTTTTAAGACAGTGATATAAAATTTCTTTTTTTTTTTGAAAATAGTTATTTTTATGAGGCTATTTTTTTATGGAATTGAGACACGCAGATGTGCTTTAGTTATGTTTCTACAAAAAGGTTTTAGACACAATCGAGAATTTCTAGCATGAAGTTACAAGATGTTAAAAATAGTTCAACACAGTAAATACACCTGCTCTCCCCAGCCCCAGCTACAGAGAGTAGGAGGCAGCTAGCAGGCCTGGAGGGAGCCGTGCTCTGAGATGGCCTTCCCAGCTGACAAGAAGCCAGAGCGCCACCCAGGAAGAGGGTGTGGGGCTAGTCTGTGCCATCAAAACAGCTATACCCGACGCCAGGTTCTGCTTCCCCAGCCTCACCTCTTCCTGAGCCCCCCACCCACCCACCTCCAGCCCGGGGCCAGCACCCCACTTCTCCTCTCAGTCCTCCCTGAACCCTCATCAATGGATTGGATCATGACAGGCTCTGTCTCTATGGAGAACACGGGACATGCACACTATGTAGCTTCTGCAATGACCTCAAGGCTGGGGCCCTGCATCCGTGTCTCCTCTGCCTGGAGGCCTTCCAGTGACCTCTAGAATGGACTGGACACTCACCAGACAGGCTGGAATAGGAAGGCATGTTTCCTTCAGGAAATGGCTCACGAGAGAAGTGACCAGGGACCTGAAAGACCATGAGGTGTTTGAAGGCACCTGGACTCAGCTGGTCCTAGGAGAGACCAGTGGCCTTGCTGGCTGTTTGTCGCAGGTATAGCCTTGTTGGCCTGGATTATCCCTAGAAGTCAACAGCATCACGAGACACTAGATAGGGTCGTGTGGCTCTTATGCCAGAGTGGACCCTGGGGCTGGGGAAAGCACAGTGAGAGGTCATTCATGGAAGGTCATGGGTGAGCTCTGAGGCAGATGTCAGCACTGCAGATGCTGACCCAGCCCTGGACCCTGAAGGTCCTACACTGATACCATGTCCAGAGCTTAGAAGCAGCCTGGACCGTGGATCCCACCAGCTTCTTGCTCAAAATGGAGAGGGAACTGGCCAGATTCAGTTCAGCTCTCAGCACCTGACCCAGACGTGCCTCTGAGGGATGGAGAAGGCTCCCTGCCAGCCCAGCACCATGGGGCTCAGTGGGACTTGCAATGGCCCAGGAGGACCCCCTGGCACAAAAAGCTCAGGGCTAAGCCCTTGCCACAGGCCACCTAGTTGCAGCATTGGGTACAGCACCCCTAGAGTTCACTCTGCAAGGTGCCTGGCTGCATGGGGGCAGGGCTGGGGGGAGGGGGAGGGGAAGGGCTACTCTGCTCTAGCTCTTCTCTCCTGGCAAAGCCCAAACCCCAAGTACATAAGGTGGATAATACAGGACAGAGCAAAAAGCATGAAGGTAGAATGGGACTCAGGGAGGCCTGGGAGGACATGCAGACCACTGGGAAGGGTTCTTGGCCTCCAGGTACTTGACCCAACCTGCTTCCCAGGGGAGCCAGCGCGGGCGAGTGGTTTGCTCTCAGACCAATCTGAGTCGTTGACATCCTCGGGGGCCCTCTCTGATCTGCTGCTAGGCTAGAAAACTACATTTCCTAAAACCTCGGCACTATCGCTTTAGCATGTTTACAGTTACAAATCAGAACTTCCCCTTGCTGTTCTCACTTCAGCAGCATATACCAAATTCGTGAAGCAGCATGTTCTTAAAAAGAAAAGAAACAAAGGAGAAACGCCCTCACCATCGCATTTCTCCCACAATGGACACGCGCCGCACGCCTTCTTGGCGGAGGCCGGGGGAGCACAGCTCTCTGAGCCCATCAGGGAGAAGTTTTTACCCTGACATTGGAGGGCATGCACCTTGCAAACCGTCAGAGGCAGTATCCTTTGGTTTTTCTCGTCCCGAGCACATACACCCAAGGAGGACCTGAAACGAATTTTTTTAAATCATATTATTTACCAGCTTTTCATTCTTAAAAGCGGAGGGTGAGAAGTGGCAGGTGAGGCTCTGAGCTCAGGGTCTCGGGTGTCATGGCCCACAGCAAAGAGATAGAAGGGAAACTCATACCCCCTTCCTCCCCAGGGCCCATTTGATCTTCTCAATGAACATATTTTGCTCTCTATTTGCTCACAACTTCTAGAAGCTTAGATAGTCTGGATCTAGTTTCATCTAGATCACAGCAGAGACAGCAGATGAGAAGAGAAGGCAGCTCTGGGACAGCTGGGGGACTGACCACAGGGAGGGACAGACAGCACGCCAAGATCCAGCCCCAGAGGCTCTGGCGGGACTGGACCACCGGCTGCAGGACGCTCACACTCTCCCAGCCCCAAGGCCCTGAGAGTCCGTTCACAGCCTGAAGCCTCTGGGAAGATGAAACTGTTTCATCGCTAATTGTTGGTGTCTATGTTTACAAAATACTTTAGAAACATTTCCATAAGTAATTGTTATTTTTTTCTTAAGCATTGGTGTCAAAATGATGAGACCCAACTTAGGAGAAATGCCACTTGGGAGAAATATAAACAAGCACATTTCACCTGGCCGGCATGGCTCAGTAGTTGAGCATTGACCTATGAACCAGGAAATCATGGTTCGATTCCCGGTCAGGGCACTTGCCCAGATTACGGGTTCAGTCCCCAGTGTGGGGCATGCAGGAGGTAGCCAATCAGTGATTTTCTCTCATCAATGATGTTTCTACTTCACTCTCCCGCTCCCTTTCTCTCTGAAATCAATAAAAATGTATTTAAAGAAATAAAAAATAAAATAATAAACAAGTGCATATCTGAGTGTTGATGGGTAAGGAAGGCTTTACTGTAGTGAAACCTGGCACAGTAACGCATGTTTGTATAGTAGACCAAGTCTATCTTCACTTGTATATACATTTAGTTCTAATATTTTCCTCTCTGACCAAGTAGTAAGTTTACCTGGAGTTGTTTGCACCAGGAAAACAAATCCTACTGTATCTCCTTTATCTGCTTCTTTAGACTTTAAATAGAACTACTCAGAGCAGCTTCAGAGGCAGAGACTCTGCAAGGCCACCTTGTGTCGGGATCTGATATGTAATCTCTCACACACCACGTCTATAAACAGCAGGCTGCTGATAAAGGAATGAATCAGAGAATTTGGAAAGACGATGAAAGTGAATAGAAGTAAACAATGATTAATAGAAAACAACAGCCCCCTCAGAATATCCGGGGCCCAAGCACCGTTGCCATCCACACTATTTCACTGCGTTCTCTCCTTCACGGGGGAAGTTCCTTCCTGTAAGGTGCCACCACGACCACACTACCCACTGCAGGTGTTCGTGGAGTTGGATGTGCACGTGGAGGGTGATACTAACTGAAAGCCACGTACGTGGCCAGTAAATGTGTGTTCTAAGTCCGGGGCCTGGATATCTCCCACGTGCCCTTCAGAGTCACTCTCTCTCTTCTCCACGCTGCCCGGAGGACTGACAGGTAAGACACATCCCCAGACCTCCTTGTCCTCTAGCTTTGGGGGCATTTCATCGATGGGGAGCGATGGCAGGAGACTGGAAGGGGAAGAGAGTGCAGATCCCCTGGCTCCCGCCTGGGGAATTTCTGAGGTCCTTCCTCCGCTGCCATCTCCACACCTCCCTCTGTCTCTAGGTTTTCCTAAATGCTCCTCTCTTGATCCTCCAGGCTTGGGCATGGAGATATACCTGAGCTGTGACCCATCAGGACCCCGCCCTGTGGCTTACAGTGTCCTTTCCTCTCCCACACTTCAGTTCATTTGGAAAGACGATGACAGTGAATCAAAGTAAACTCCCTCTGTCCTCATCCAATCCTGCCATCTGAACCTGACGAGGACCATGGCACAGACATCTAGCCACCCCAGGTCTCCTCCTACAATGGGCTGGTTTCCAGTTGGCTGGCATCTTTTGTTTTGTTAATCCTCACCCAAGGGTATTTTTCCATTGATTTTTAGGGAGAATGAAAGAGAGAGGGAAAGACAGAGAGAAACATTGATGTGAAACACATCGATTGGTTGCCTTCTGCACGAGCCCTGACAATGGCCCGGGCCAAGGAGGAACCTACAACTGAGGTACCTGTCCTTGACCAGAATCAACCCTAGCGCCCTTTGGTTCACAGGCCAACTCTCTACCCACTGAGAAAAACCATCTAGGGCCAGTTAGGTGGCATCTTATAAAGCAATCTAGAGACAGACATTTCCAGAATCAGAAAAGCAGCTGCTTTTTTCCCTGTCGGCATTGCTTGGAGAGTTTATGTCTCAGGGGGACTTCAGTCCTAATCCTCTCAAATTCGAAATGCTCAGGTGACAGTTTGTCGTTTTGCACCACTTTATAGAGAGAACAAGTAGCCCTTCGGCCTCGCTAGCCAGGTGAGAGCACTGCTGATGCCCCAGTTGTCAGCCCAGGTGACAACTTGCCAGGCAAGTAACAGGCAGCAGATGGACAGGTGAAAAGGCACAGAGCCTTAGCCCTTGGTAAGCAGCACCTTCCACCGAACAGAGACTAGCATCTAAGAAATCATTCTCTTAATCTTGAGTAAAATGAAACAGAGAAGTAAGCAAAGACAGGGCTTACCGACATTCGTAGGGCATTTTACAAACACATCTGGAATTCTTCACTTTCTCCCAGGGCTGACACTGAGGCACTGCCTGTGTCACAGGGCCATCTAAAAGGCAAGAGATATGAGAGTCGTTGGGAGAAGAGCCCCTTCGTGGTAAACAACGCATCATTTTCAGGGTGAAACTGGCTCTATAATGTTCTCAACACGTTGGCACAGTAAAAAAATAAAGCTGGGCCCTAACCGGTTTGGCTCAGTGGATAGAGCATCGGCCTGTGGACTGAAGGGTCCCAGGTTCGATTCTGGTCAAGGGCATGTACCTTGGTTGCGGCCACAGCCCCAGTAGGGAGTGTGCAGGAGGCAGCTGATCGACATTTCTCTCTCACTGATGATTCTAACTCTCTATCCCTCTCCCTTCCTCTCTGTAAAAAATCAATAAAATATATTTTTTAAAAATTGGTTTAAAAAAAATATATATATATATAAAGCTGGAAAGCATTTTACAAGGGATAGAACATTCCTCGGAGCACCTTACGAATAGCGTCATTGGTCCCAGCAGCTATCGTTCCTCGAGTATTTACTATCAGCTATGCACTTCTTATACACTGCGATATCTAACCCTCCCTAACAAATGCCCATTTAAGAGATGAGGACAGTAAAGGTCAGAGAAGTTACGAAATTGGTTCTAGTTCACAGATTTAATAGGTTGGCCAGGCCAGGATTCAAGTCCATGCTTGTCTGAATCCAAGGCCAGTAGAGCAGGCTGCTTTTTATCAAGAAGTTGGTGTTCAGGGCTCACTTTGGCAGCACATATACTAAAATAGGAACGATTCAAGGAAGGTCAGCTTAGGCCCTGCTCAAGGGTGGCATGCAAATTCGTCATAGACACAGACCACAGAGTGGTCTGGAGACATTTTGGGCTGTTACACTAGAGGACGCTACAGACGTCCAGTGGGTGGAGATCAGGGATGCTGCTAACTACTTCACAACGTATAAGACAGGCTCCCACCACAAAGAATTACCAGGCCCATCATTCCAATCGTGTTGGGGTTGAGACATGCTCATCTAAATGTACCAAAACTAAAGTTCAGTGCTAAAGCCATGTAAATTATTTCTGCATTTTGATTAGAACATCGTTTGGTAATCATTCTTAAGGATGAAATTTCAGATTTTAAATATTTCCTAAAAGTTATTACAATGTCCTTGTGAAAATTACTTATAGAATTACCTAGACCAAAACTTTTGCATTTAAAAAGAGCATAACTTTGTTTTCTTTGTAGCTCAATTAACCAAATAAGCATGCTCTTAGGACTCACGTAGAGTATGTACCTTTACTATTTTAAAGCCAGATTATCTCCACATCAAGACTAAACCCTGACTGGGTAGGGAGTAAGGGTTTAGTGTTTAATAGGTACAGAGTTTCCGTTTGGAGGATGAAAAAGTTCTGGAGACGGTGGGTGGTGATGGTTTCAACAATAAAGGGAATGAACTCAATGCCTCTGAACTGTACATATTTAAAAATGGTTAAAATAGTAAATGTTATGGTATGTATAGTTTACGACAATAAAAAAGACTAAGTATGGATTCAGCAGGTATTTTAAAACATTAACTTTAGCCCAGCCGGTGTGGCTCAGTGGTGGTCTCGATCCCCAGTGTGGGGTGTGCAAGAGGCAGCCAATAAGTGATTCTCTCTCATCATTGATGCTTCTCTCTCTCTCTCTCTCTCTCTCTCTCTCTCTCTGTCTCTCCCCCTTTATCTCTGAAATGAATAAAAATTAAAATAAACATTAACTTTGGAGGCTGACAAACCTGGAATTTTTTCCTGATTATGGGCTTATTTTAAGGGAAGTTATTATTGTTATCAACATCTTCCCAAAAACATGCAGGTCTGAAAAACATTCTTCATTCAAACTGCAATAGAATTTGCTACTGAGTGGGAGAAATTTTATACCAAATTGTGCTATAATAGGGCTGAGGCAGACATTTGAGAAAGACAAGTATATAATCTCCTTTGGAATGAAGGAGCAACCTCATCAACCCTACATTGTTCTCTTTAATTTTAGAATCACCCTTCTATTGCATGGATATCCCAAATAAATTTGTATTTCTGCTTCAGTGCATATAGGAGAAAAAACACCCCTACCCAGTTTGGCTCAGTGGATAGAGCGTTGACCTGCAGGCGAAGGATGCCGGGTTCGATTCTGATCAAGGGCACATACTTCGGTTGCAGGCTCCGTCCCCAGTAGAGGGCATGCAGGAGGCAGCCAATCAATGATTCCCTTACATCTTTGATATTTCTCTCTTTCTCTCTTCCTCTCCCTTCCTCTCTCTGAAATCAATAAAAATATTTTAAAAAAAAACAAAACCCTGTCTCTGATATGGGCCTTTGGCAGCCAAAGAGCAGGTGGTAGCTGGAGGGGTGGACATTCCATTAGACAGGCTGCCCTGCTGTCCTGTCGTCTATTATCTACTTAAACAGTGGTTCTCAACCTGTGGGTCGTGACCCCTTTAGCAGTCGAATGACCCTTTCACAGGGGTCGCCTAAGACCATCCTGCATATCAGATATTTACATTACGATTCATAACAGTAGCAACATTATAGTTATGAAGTAGCAACAAAAATAATTTTATGGTTGGGTCACAACGTGAGGAACTGTATTTAAAGGGCCAGAAGGTTGAGAACCACTGACTTAACACCACAGCTGTGGCTGCATCAGTCACAGGGGGCTCCATGCAGCCTGCTCTTTGTCATTGTGACCATCTAAGTCACCTAATAGTGTCACTCATGGAATCTAGTACTTCATTCTCACTGGCAAAGACAAATTTCAGCACTGAGCTCAAAATCATACACTAGGGAAATAAGAATACCATATAAAATGGAATGCAAAATAGTGTTTCTTCTTTCCTGTTTTTAATTATTCCAAACACATTTTTTATTTATTTAAAAAATGCAAATAAGAAATGAGAGGTTCTTTTAAAAACAAATCCATCTCATCTACAATATCTCTAAAAAAATAAATAGTTTGGCTTTCCAAATCTCTTCCTCCGTTAATTTCTTTGAAAAACCATTTTAATTTGCCTAATGTTCAAAATAATAGACTTTTGGTTTTACACTATTAAGAACAACTTTGCAAACCACAACACATTTTCTTCAATAACCTCTGCTTTGTAAAATGCTTTTAATTTTCTATTTCAATAATACTAATAAATTCTCTGAAAGCCCATAAATAAAACATACAAAATGTTATATAACTTATTATCTCAACTTTGGACTACATTAAAGTACATTTAAAAATCAGAAGGAAACCAAAAATAAGCTTTTAAACATATTTTTCCTTGGCACTGTAAGTGATACAAAGCTAAACTTTGATATAAAGGATTTCAGTTCAAATTTAAGAATCACCAGGGGTATCCTTGCCTTTCTTTGCATTCCATGAATCTATCTGTGCCATGTAAAAAAAAATCTGCTATTTGTTCTATGAACTGACTGCCTTCTCATGGCAGGCAGAGCGAAGGCAATTATGGTGACTCAAGGCCTTAAAGGACCGCCACAAAGACTGTCACACGCTTGGGTGCAGGTGTCCTTGAACCAACCTGGGACTGCTCACCTCTATGGACACATTGGACATCCTTTATCTCAGGACTCCACTTAAGGCTGGATCCACAGATAAATGTCGAAGGACCTTCTAATGACATGCCATGCGAACAGGAAAAGGTCACCTTCTCGCCAATTGCGTAGGAAGGTTTCTGGGGATGACTCTGTATGCCATCCATCAGTGTTGGTAGAACACAGACAATTCCTAAAGATGAAAAAAGAAGAAGAGCAGAATACAAGGGCCATTGATTTCCTAAACCATCTTTGTAAAAACATGACCTCCTTGAATGCTACTGTTATACTTGCTCTGCTTTTTCACCTTGGAAGACAAGAAAGAAGAGGTGAGCTCACTCTTAGGGTGCCCACAAAGACATGTCCCACCGGGACCCACATGTAATTGACCAATGAAAGACTGAAGACCAAAACAGTTCCCACCCACAAAGCAATGTGACAACTTAAAATACATGAGCCTTATAAACAGAGACCCGAAGTCCAGCCTGCTGTCCAAACCAGACTTTTCACAGCCGCCACGAATCTCTCCAGTCTGGTAGAACTTCCGCAGGAACTGTGTTTATTTGTGTGTCATTAGCATGTATCCAGTTGCATATTTTACTAGCTGAAATTTTTTAAAAACTGCCTTTAACCTTGCAACCATAAAAGTGTTAAATGTTATTTGGTTTCCAATCTCTATTCTTTCTTGCTTGGTTATGTTTATTAGTTCAAACTTCCTACTTGAAAAAGCAGCAAAGAGAAAACTGAGAAGCATACATTTTTATGGAAAGCAAGTCAGATTTCACAATTTTTAAAAAAAATTTGGCAATCTCTCTAATGGACCTTGGACAATAGTCTAAAACTACTGCTCTATTTCTGCACCATTTTCATCAGAAAATCCATTTATTCACTCATTCAAAACAGCATCTATTGAGTGCCTCTATTTTGCCAACAATGTTGTGTGCTGCTGCGGATACAAGTTATGAGTCAGGTTTTGAAGGCCTAAGATTCCAGAGAGAAAGAAAGACTGAATGGTTACAGCATTTGGTGATGCCTTACTCCTTGAGGTATTTGTAAACTTGGTGGGGAAAAATGCTGAAAGGCTGCTAAACAGAGGAGAAAGCTGCAGCTCAGAGGCTGGGAGACAGGCATGAAGGCAGTGATTCAACAACTGGAGTTTTGGGGCTAGGAGAGCAGAAACTAGAGTCCAGTCCTGCTGAGAAGGGACCTAAGTAGAAATTCCATGTCAAAATTTCCACTGGGATCCATTCATTAATGGCCACGCCTCACTGCTTGCCAGGCACAGAACTGAATCTCCTCTCCAGGAAGATAACATCGCCAGGAGCCTCAAGTCATTTCTCTGATTTTCACACAGAAAGTCTGGCATTCAATCAAAACTAATCTAACATTTAAAAAGATAAGAATACCCAGCTCACTCTCCCTCCTGGGAGCCCACCCACTTTTCCCCTTTCCCTTTGCCTTGCTCTCTCCTGAGCTTCAAGGGCCCTTCTTTTTTCCTGTATAACTTATCTCCTGATTCCATGCCCAGCTGGCTCACTTTTCCTACCTCTGTAAATTTCTAAATAAACTTTTTCTTATAAATAAGTAAATAAGATTTGACCAAAATTTTAAAAGACTATAGAAGCAAACCCACAGCAGATCCAGATAAGGGGATTAACGAACGTGGACCTTGAAATAACTATGATTAACATGTCAAGGGGGGAAATAAATGACAATATGGGTGATTTCAACAGAGAATTAGAAAGTATAAAAAAGTAGATAAATGGAATATCTAGAATTGGAAAATAAAACTAAGAACTCAATAGGCCTCTTAAAAGCACATAATATATAACTGTACAGAGAATTAACAAACTTTAAGATAGGTCAATAGAAAATATTTAGAATGAAACAGGAAGAGGGAAAATGATGTAAAACAAAGAAAATAACATACGTAATATATATAGTCTAAAAATGTATCATTTGTGTCTCAACAGGAGAGATGAGCAAGACTGGGACAGAGGCAATATTTTAGGACACATGGTCAAGAATTTTCTAAAATTGTCAGAGAACATTATAGCACAGGTTCAAGAACTGCTTTGAGTATCATCCAGCATGAGAGAAAGAAAATCACACCAAAGCACATGGGAGCAGAGTTGCTTCTGAAAAACAAAGACAAAAAAGAATCTTAAAAGCAGAAAGAAAAAGTATGATTTCAAAGGAGAAACAGTAAGTCTAAGAACTGACATATCACTAGAAAACAGTGAAGTTAGAGGCAATGTAATGAAATCTTGAAAGGGTTTAAAGAAAATAAGTGCTAACTTATAATTCCTTACCCAATAAAAATACCCTTCAAAAATGAAGATAAAATGAAGGCATTTTAAGATGAACAAAGACTAGAATGGTTTTTCACCAGTAAACTCACAATAAAGGGAAAGAATCTCTTCAAGCATAAGTATTGGATTAATCTTTTCATAGAACCAATTTGGGGCTTTATTACTCCTAGCTAGGGAATATTTATATTTATTTTCAGTAATTTCTGCTCAAGGACTTCAGAGACAGACAGAAATGAGAGGTCCTACAAACCAATAAGACAAAGACAGACAAATCTTAAAAAATGGACAAAAGATTAGATAGCCCCTTCACCAAAGAGGATATACAAATGGCCAATAAACATGTGAAAACAGGCTTAACACATCACTATGCCTCAAAAAAAATATTTAAAAATACAAGTTAAAAAATAAGATATCTCTATATACCAGTATAGCTAAAAAGAATTTAAGGATAAATGCTATCAAGTGTGGATGACGATACAGAGCAACCTTAACTTCTCAGATTCTGGTAGGGAAGTAAACTGTATGATTACATGGAAGATGGTAGCATATTTTAAATTTAAAGTAGAAATTGCACTATATACCCAAGAGAAAAAATGTGCATGTGCTCACTAAAGTGTTCCTTGCTTTGCACAGACCAATTGATATAGAAAAAGTATAACCCTACACTATGTCCGTGAGAACAAACTAATATGGCAGCACAACTGAGATGGAGGCCAGAGTAATGTTAAGGTGACAAGATGCCTATATCTGAACAGAATAGGATCCAAAGCATCTAAAGAAGTAGATTGATTGTGGTACACTCCTAGTCATTGAACTTCACAGGATGTCCTGATGGTCTTAGCCAGATCTGAGCTTCCTGGACAATTCCAATGTCCCAGAAAATTTAAAATCACAAAATGTGCCATACCTACCAGGAGCTCCATCAGCTAGAGAATGCTGAGGGCTTTTTCAAGGCACTCCTGAAACTTAGGCAGGGTCATAGGAGCCTTTCAGAAAAGGGAGGTCAAGACATGGCACACATGGTAAGCGATTATCTTGATTCATTCTCTTGCACATTATTATCTCCTCTTAAATTTTATACAATGGCCAAGGCCACTCACTCTGACAATGCCTTTCCCCAGTGACCCACTGTAAGTCATCTCCACATCTGGCAACAGGGTCTCCAACCAGAGAGTATCCTTCCCTGCAGGTATAGACTATGTTTTTCCCAACAGGAAACGTGGTATCTTCATTCTAGACAGAAATACAACAGAGAGAAAGAATATGCCCAGTTTGCAATAACACAATGTTTCTTTAGATATATTTGGTCTATAAACCATGCCTTCTTTTAATCATTAGACAACCTTCATTCAAATAGCTGATTTAAAAATTGTCTGTAAAAGCATTTTCTTGTTTATAGTTCTAGCCAACAACACTGATCCCACCATCAATGGAAATAAAGCCAGTAATGCCACTGTACTATGATTTATTGATTGTTCTCTGTAGTAAAAATTTGACTAAAAGTACTTTAGTACACACTGCCCAAGTAAGTTCTTTCCCTTAAACTTTCAGGTAAAGTCAGTTTCCTATCAGATTTGGGAAACATCCTTGTCAGTCAACCCTTCGTAGAAAGGTGTTAAGGGCTTTTCATGGGCAATACTGCCTGACAAATGCTGGTGTGAACTGACAGGTTGAAATCCCTTTAGCGTGTTCATGAAAGTTTAAGTTTCTTTCAAAAATCAACAGGGGGAAGCATAATGTTGGCCTTCTCCCACCCCACCCTGTCAGGAAAGTGCTGCTGGGCTGGGGCAGACACAAGGGCATGTCGTTAGCCTAGAATGCCAGGAGGTGAGCTTTGTTGGTGAAGCACAGGAGGATTCGAAGTCTGAGCTTCAGGTGGGCAGTCATGCTTGTTTGGGGTCTCGCTGGGTTCCTTTTCTTATCCTGCTGATCTCTTCCACCCCAAGGTACGGTAAAGAAACCAGCCTGGGAGAGGGCTTGGAGCTGGGCCAACTATGCTGTAGGCATAAGAACAAGATTCCGCCGAAACCGGTTTGGCTCAGTGGATAGAGCATCGGCCTGTGGACTGAAAGGTCCCAGGTTCGATTCCGGTCAAGGGCATGTACCTTGGTTGCGGGCACATCCCCAGTAGGAGATGTGCAGGAGGCAGCTGATCGATGTTTCTCTCTCACCGATGTTTCTAACTCTCTATCTCTCTCCCTTCCTCTCTGTAAAAAAATCAATAAAATATATTTTAAAAAAAAAAAACAAGATTCCTTGGTGCCTCCTTCTTCTCATTGCCAGGCCTGGCCCAGTCTGGCTCCATCATGGATGTTGGTAGGAAACAGAGGCCCAGATTGGTGTGGAGGTTTGAAGAAAATGGGGACGGACACTGGATCTGCTTTTCCCTACAAACGGGAATCCCATATAACAAAGTCAAGCTCAACACTGTGTAAACCTGGCTCTATTTCAGAACTGTTAGTAGCAATTTAGAAAAATATAGACTCTGGGGATCTACCCTAAACCTACAGAATGCGAAAAAATTGGAAGACAGGGGCAAGCAGCCATCTCTATCATTATGGTTCTGGGTGGCTGTGACGTAGCCCATCCACGGGGCAGTGTTCGCAACCACCAGGTCCTTACAGGGCAGCCCATGTATTGGAGTTTGGGACAGCAGCCTCAGCATTTGCTAAAGGAAAATAGTCTGCTTGGCCTCATTCTCTGAGCATGTGCTACCTTCAGGAACTTCATGGACTATGGTGACTGCAGTGGGACAAAATGAGTGTCAGTCATACTAGGTCCCTCTCTCTCTCCATAAACACACACACACACACACACACACACACACACACACTGCTCTTCCACCTCCCAATATTGCCTACATTTGGGAAAATTTGAGCAAAATCTCAGTGTATGTATGTTCTAGGGCCTGGACCCTGCGAGGCAAAATCGTTTGTGGAGAACGCAAGACTGGCCACAGAGAACGCTGATGAACATCTCCTGTGTGAGCCAAGAGGAGGCTTCACTGAGTCTGAGGCCCAAGCCTCATCATGACAAGGAGTGAGAAGGGCACAAATTCACAGAGCCCCCAAGCCAGGAAGATTCCCGAGAATGACAAGTAGCAGCTGACTCGTGTTCCTTCCTGAACAAGAAAATTGCTTAAAGAACAATGACCCATATCTCACCAACACTCACTGATTGTCTGATTGGCTCCTGGAATAAACCTAATATTTCATCCTAGACTCCATATTTATGAGACTTTTTTTTCAAAGACTTCTTTCAGTGCAAGAACAGGGGAAGTCCTCATGTTGAAGAACTTGCTTATAGAGTCCTATTTTAGTGGGAATGGAAATGTTTAGCCGCCCTCTGACATGACTGCATTTCTAATCCATTGGGTGGCAAATATTGATTTACCTTGCCACAGAAGATGTACTGACTTCTGCAGAATTCTAAATGCCTTCGGGCAAAGAACAAAAGTCTAAAACATCACTAAAACTAAGATGCACACATAAAATGTTTACAGCTCTGTTTTCTTGTGGAAGAAGGACATGGATTATGACAACAGTGGAGATGCAGAACTTGACGCAAAGAGTATGTGTAAAGAAAAAAAAAATATATATATATATATAATCTCATAACCAACTTGAACAAATCCGTTGTCCAAAGCAGGGGGTGGTGGACAGAATTCCGTTGGACCTGAAGGCAAAGGAAAACAATGGGGTTCAAGCAATCTGGAAGAGAAAGAAAACAAAATATAATTAATGTGATGAATTTCCACAGTATAATCAATATTTTGCACCACAGCAAATTTTTTACTTGCATCTGAAAAGATTGTGCTCATGTAAGTAGGTTAATGTGATATTTTTGTCATTGTCAGGATCAAATATCTGATCACAACCTGTGATAGAAAACTCAAACATAAACTCAGGCTTGCAAAAGATAGTTAAGTGGTCAGTAGTAGGGGAAAATAACAGCAGAAAGGAAAGTCATTCTTTGGGCAACACACCTACTTATGAAACTTTCAGAAGTCACCTGTCTCAGACCTACTGTTTCTCCTGCTGGCTGGTTCTGAAATTCTTTTAACACAGAATTAATTCTGTATTAAAAATAAAATACCCAGCCCTAGCCGGTTTGGTTCAGTGGATAGAGCATCAGCCTGCAGACTGAAGGGTCCCGGGTTTGATTCTGGTCAAGGGCACATGCCTGGGTTGTGGGCTTGATCCTCAGTAGTGAGCATGCAGGAAGCGCCAATCCATGATTCTCTCTCATCATGGGTGTTTCTAACTCTCTATCCCTCTCCCTTCCTCTCTGAAATCAATAAAAATATATATTTTTTAAATAAAATGAAAATAAAAACCAATGGAAAAAATATCCTTTGATGAGGATTAAATGAAAGAATGAATGATAAATAAATAAGAGGATCATATATATATATATATATATTGCAGAATTGATCCCCAGTGTGGGGCGTGTAGGAGGCAGCTGATCTATGATTCTCTCTCATAACTGCTGTTTCTATCTCTCTCTCTCTCTCCCTCTCTCTTACTCTCTGAAATCAATAAAAATATATTTTTAAAAAATAAAAATAAGGTAATTAGAGTTAGTGATCCTGCAAGAGAAGTAAGACAAAATAACAACACTTCTGACTGAGCATGTGCCATGTGTCTAGGCTCTTGGCAGTCACTCTACGGATGTGTGTTGCCTCAGTTCACTGTAATCTATGAGACGTGTGAAGTAAACAAAGGCTTGGAGAGTTGGAATAAGTTGTCCAAGGTCATAGAGTAAAAGATATCAAGGCTGGATTCATGTCTAATTAGTCAGGCTCTTAAAATCATGCTCTCTCTACTTCTCACAAGGCAAACTCTAGAGGGAGCTCATAGTAGTGACAGCAATGACAGCCACCAGGAAGCAGAGTTTTCAATAGTGCCTCTGAGGCTCACGTATCGCCACTATGGCCTGCACTCCAGGGACACGGAATCTGAGGGAAAGCATTAGACATGGCCTGAGTGCAGCCTCCTTCTGGACTCAGATCCTCAGGCTCTCGCAACCTTCTGAGGAGACTCAGAAATGTGATGTTTTCATCATTTTCCTCTGCATACTGAAGAGGAGGACATTTTTCCTCCTCTGAGCACCAAGAAGAGTGAAAATCCCTCCAGTGCCTTCCTTAGGGTGCCCCTTCCCATCAAGCTTTGTGTCTAAAGGCAGGGGAAGCGATCCAGCGGGCAGCGGCCTCCTGAGAGACCTCCTCTTCCCAGAGGCACCCACCCTGAGGCCAGTGCTGTCTGCTCACCAAAATCCCACATGCTTCCCACCTTCCTCCATCAGGAGGCATTGCTCACGTCAGATGAGGAGGCAGCGAAGACCTGGGAACAAGGCATCACACCTCCAGACACCCAAGGGTCACACTTTCTTCTTTCCCATGACCTTCACATTATCTGACTAGAACGTGTTGCCAATCCCCGATTGGAAGAGGTTAGTAAGGACAGTGAACACAGTGGGGGGTGGCATAAAAAACCACTGACCCAGGGGTACGATTCATCAACTAGACATCTGTGAGAGAGTATTTGCAAGGTCCTGGCAACAGGAAGTGAGTGTGAAATGACAGTTGAGATGTTCACCTTCTCTGGTGCCAACATGGAGACACGGGTCATGCTCTTTTATTGTGGTGGTGACCCTGAGAACTACCATATTTTTTGCCAGGCTCATGAGTAAAAACTGGAGGTAAGACGTGTCAATATCAGAAACTATTGAGATTTTAGATTCTTTGCCAAAACGGTGATATATTTCCCACAATTTAACTTCTAGGAACTTAAACTGCTTAAAGAAACTGGATCCTGAAGATTACGGGTGGGGGATTTTTAAAATATGTCCCTGTTCAAGTGGAGATCAGAGAATCCCAACTAAAGGAATCCTGGGCTGACGGAGAAGACAGCTGTGCATTGAGCAAAGGGGCTAACTTGAAGATTCTGACTCCAACTCAGGGGGGACTAAGACAGTGGAAGGAATCACAACGTGCTATTCCCTCAATAAAAATTGTGTGACTTTTTAAAAAAAGATATTAGCCATCTTAAGCATCTGGCCTTATGGTTCATCCTAAATAAAAAAAATAAATGAGAAGTGGTATGTCTGAAAAATCATACAACTATTATTGAGTACTTACTCCGTGCCAGGCTTAATCTCACTGCTATCCTATTATCACTTTATCTACTATGAAGATCTTAACTTTAGAGGTGTGGCAAGGACCTTGCCCAGGTCACACAGCACGGAGGTGGCCAATCTACTTGATGTCAACACCTCCGCTCGTATCTATGGGACCACACTGCCTCCCAGCTCCCCAGCCTTTTATAACGATGAGTCAGGAAAACTTGAAACATGAGTGCAAGGTGGCCAGGCCAGGCCTCCATCTTTCAACTGACCCCTGTGCTAAAGGGCAAAGTAGTCATTGATAAAAAAATTAAATAAATAAAATAAATGACTGTTTCACGTCCAAATCATCTAGTAGCAGCCATCGCGTAGTTCACGCGAACTGCAGGGACACTGTGTCCTATGTGATGGCCAGGAGGTCTGGTCCCCCTCACCGAAGATTCTTCAGCTCCTCATCTTCCTCTCCGCACTGCCTGCTCTCCGACGGTTCTCCAATACAGGACTCCCCGCCCCCACTGGGAGGTGGGTTATTGCATTCACGGCGCCTTGTTCTCCTTCCTTCAACACAGGGGCTCCAAGAGGACCAGCAGTTCCAACCTCCGTCCACCTTTCCTGTAAGAGAAGAGGAAGGTCAGGAAGAACTTGCAGAGAAGTTTGCGGAGCTCACTGCGCAGCTCCCTGCTCCGTGGTCCTTGGGGGAGGGGACGTCAGGGGATTCATTACGTTGGGCATTCACTGAGGTCCTCTACAATGCCAGCGGTCTCTGCACACTGACCAGGGCTGTCCATATCATGGATGCATTAACAAACTTCTTGCAATAATATCTTAAGTGTGTTTATCATTTTACAACTGTTTCAAAGCACCACGTACATTCCATCATTTATTTACTTCTCACAAGAATGAGGCCAGGTGGGCAGGAGGTCAGTCACCATTTTTGTTTGAAAGGTATGGAATCTGACACAAAGTGGTTAAATGCCATGCCCGATGCTATACTGGCTGCCACGAGCCACATCCAGACTGTAACTGTGTCTTACAACTGAGTTCCGTCTCTCAATAAAGCGAATAAGTTGCTCTTGTTAAAGCAGTGATGGGCATGAGAAGGACATAATGTACTGGTACCCCAGGTTGCCAAGCCCAGGGCTGGCACTGTGCAAAGCCGGGAAGTGTGTAAGCAGATGAACTGCTTTTCCTTCCTCTTAGCATCCTTCCCCAATTCTACACTAGGCACTTCCTCAACCAACCCTGGCACCTTCCACCTCCGGGCTGATGCACGACTCACAGTCTTTTAGTATTTCCCCCATCATATTCCGTGGGGGAGCCAGGGGAGAGCTGGCACCATCTTCTAAGAACTTTGCTTTACTAGTTAGAAACTGCTCTCAGACACCATCCCCCAAAGCATTATTTTCCGATAATAAGTGGGTATGTATACTGGTCCTTAGCTATTTCTACTGTGCAACCTATATCCCTCTTTGCCCCCTATCCCATGCCCCACTCCTCGGTACCACACACCAAAACTAAACTAATTTGTATAACAGTTTCCCATGATCTTCCTTATGCTTCCTTCCATCATTAAAAACTGAGTTAATAAAGTAGTCCCCTGAGTATATTAATAAGGGGTAAGAATAGCTTGATATATTATGATTGCTACTCCATTCCTCACCAGCAGGGGAAGCTCTCATTTTTATCAAATGACTGGAAATCCAAGCCACAAAGGGGAGAGTCAGGGGTGGAATTTCAATTTACCAGGAAGGCTGGCAGGGGAGGCATTTGAAGGCAAGGATGCCTTCCTGGTGCTTGTCTATAAGCAACCATCGTTTAGCCACGTATGTATTCATGTATCAAACACTTAATAAGTGACTTCTATAAAATCAAGCTCTGTGTCAGGCTCTGGAAATAAAGAAAAAAATCAAGTCCTGATCTTCAGAAACATTCTTTCTAGAGCAGCGGTCGCCAACCGGTGGTCCGTGAGGTCCGAAAGGTTGGCGGCCGCTGTTCTAGAGAGAGAGACACATATAAGTAAATATGAAGACAAATGTACATAGTTGTCTCATGCGTGGCCTACTCATAAACTAACTTCACAGAGCCCTGTTCCAAGTGCTTAAAGCACCAAGCACACTGCCAGGCACACAGCAGGTGCTCAACAAGCACCCATGCATAACTGATGGGCGGAACATAATACAAACAGAAGCAGAGATATTTCAAGGAGTTGGCCAGCAGAGAGGCTAGGCAGTGCAAGCCCACGCCCCACAGACCTGGGTTATGACGGAAACTTTCTGAGACGACAACGGAAGGATGGGAGGTGTTTGGGGCACTCAGCTAGTCTAATGGCGGATGGGGAATGGTGGCAGGCACGTGGGTCTGTGAACTCAGACAGAAAAACAGAGACAGACAAGGGCCTTGACCCCAGGGTCCACCATCCGGACATGGAGCGTGGGAGACACTGAATTAAAATGCCCGGTGAGCCCTACTGGTGTGGCTCAGTGGTTGAGCATCGACCTATGAACCAGGAGGTCATAGCTTGATTCCCAGTCAGGGCACATCCTGGGTTATGGACTCAGTCTCCAGTGTGGGGCTTGCAGGAGTCGTCAGATAGATGATTCTCTCTCATCTTTGATGTTTCTAGCTCTCTCTCCCTCTCCCTTCCTCTCTGAAATCAATAAAAATATATATATTTTTAAATGCCCAGTGAGATTTCCTCCTCTCCATGCACCAAGAAGTGCAATCTCAGGGCCTGGAGGGAAGAGGTTCCCCTTTTCGATGGGTCCAGCATAACTAGAGAAGAGTCCGCGCACTGACCTGCTTCGTCCCCCACAAGGACGCCATACTCGCAGGACGCCCCAAACGTGTACGGCTTGCAGTGGCACTGGCACGTGGTGCCCTCCACCGCGGCGAGGCCCCCGTTCTGGCAGGGCCGGCAGTGGCAGGGGTCGGTCTCATCCAGGTATTCCTCCAGAGCCCGTCTCAGGTAGAGTCTCTTCACCGCGGCACAGGGGACCTCCTTCACCAGCTCATACAAAGGTGTCAGCTGCACAGGGAAAGACATCCCAGGCAGAAGCCAGGGTTTTAGGCGACAGTATTTTTTTTTTTGACAGTTAAGCTCAAACCCCATGGAAACACTTATGTTAATTCCAATCATTGCTTGTTCAAATAAAAAGAGAAAATAATTCACTTTCCTTGCAAGAGAAATCTAGGAAATATTAGACCAGCTAGAGAAGGAATATTTTTTGTATCTTGTGTGCAGGTATAAAATTCTAAAAACCAACGGGACATCTATTTTCTAGTTATTGAAAGGTTGTTTTGAAGATAACACATTTTCACCCCCGCAGAGGACAGAGGAAAAGGGGGTGCACTTATGTTACAGGAAGAGCACGTGCAATTCAAGTTAAATGTCCTGCCGCAGAGAGGAGACCATCACTCTTTCTCCCTGAAGAAATTTAAAACACGTTTGCATCGTTGCTCTGTGTTGGATATGTCCAATGCTTCGAGACCACAGGGGTGCTGGCCAAGTCTTAACAATCTGCTCGCTCAGGAATAAGAAGGCTCTGATTTGTGGAATCAGGGTAACTACCGTCACCATGGCTGATTCCAGGCTACCCCCATGACGTCACAGAGCACAGAACTGGGAAGAGATGCATATCACTGGCTTTGGAGAGTCAATACAATCTACATGCAGTGCACGACTAAGATTGACACAGAGAATCGGTCACATTTCCTCCATCTCTGCCCAAGCTCTTTGGAACTGGATGGCATCATACGGCCGTATAGCTGGAACATGCCTCTACTCTCTCTGTTCCTGTCCTGTGCGGCTAATAAATTAGCACAGCTAACTGTGACAGCTACTGTCCTATTGGAAAAGTGCAGAGTTGCGAATGAAAAAGAATCTCTGTTCTTTCCTAATCAACTTTTCAGGATTTTTGACGATTTGTATGGGACACTGACAATGAAAATAGGCCACGTTGACTCTTAATGAGTGACACGTCAAGATGAGAGTTCTGCCAAGACCGGTTTGGCTCAGTGGATAGAGCGTCGGCCTGCAGACTGAAGGGTCCCAGGTTCGATTCCAATCAAGGGCATGTACCTTGGTTGCGGGCACATCCCCAGTGGGAGGTGTGCAGGAGGCAGCTGGTCGATGTTTCTCTCTCATCGATGTTTCTGACTCTCTATCTCTCTCCCTTCCTCTCTGTAAAAAATCAATAAAAATATATTTAATAAAAAAAAAGATGAGAGTTCCTGGGGAAACTTCCCCCTCCCCCATCACGCTTATTAGGAGGCAAGTGGGTACACTATGGTGTTGGGGGGCAACCTGAGAAGCGATTGTAGTTTTTGAGTGTATAACATGTGTCCAGGTTTCTTAATCTCTGAAGGTCAATTTCACTTGCACATTGCTTGACTCCCATGGCAGGGAACAGCTCATAGAATCAATTCTGCTATAGCATTTGTTTTGAAAATATGAATTTGTTCTGTTGAGATGGTCATAGTGAGGAATAATATAAGCATACCACACACGTTTTGCTTTTTGCTTACGTACCGTTTTGTCCACAAGAAACACGAGGTGAGCACGGAAAACTGGACATGACTGAACCAAACCACACAGGAATACATAAAACGCACAAACACACGCCTCAAACATCCATCCAGTTCACTGCCCACGTGGTACACTACACCCCTCCACATCCCGTGTCACAGCTGGCTGTCACTTCTGATTGTTCTCCTTCCACTTTACAACAATTCACAAGCTGTAACTGCTCCGTCACCAGCCACATTTTCCTAGTTAATGTGCCACATTCATTACAGCAAATGCATTTCTTAACAATTGAACGTGTATAAAACTGTGCTACTGGCTTTTGTTTTGTTTTGTTTTGTTTTTTATTTTTGGTGTCTATTTTTTTTTTAAATGAGTGTCACAGATTAAATTTTTAGTGTTGTATCCCTAACCCCATTTTCCCCCATAAACCCTATAGTCTTTTTATTGTGCAATTTTGCCTAGCTCCCTGATTTTTAGGAGCACATTGGTTGCATTATAAAAGAACTGACTGTATCAATAAAACATCCTAAACCTCCACCAGCCCAACCAGTTTCGGTCTTAATTTACACGCCTCCGGGCGCTTACAGGCCATGGCCACAGGGAGAAGGTGATCTGACAAATATAATGAGCCTGAATGCCTTCCTCTTACGAGAATCTATAGCTCCTCTGAATGAGGGGACAAGAAAACAATCCAATTTGGGGCAAAAGTTTAAAATACAAATTTTTTCATTAATTTCTCTTGGGATTGACAAGACATTTTACTGTTACAACTGAAATATGGACAACAAGATAACAAACCTTCTGTTTTTTATGATTACGCATGCATTCCTTTTCTCATACAGAACATAAACTGAACTTCAGAAACTGCTAACCACAGCCTTCCCTGTTTAACCAGCTTGATTTAATCTCACTTTCCCAGTGCAAAGCAACAGGACCGCTTTCTGCTGCATGTAAGCGGGGCATCACGCACCTTCTGCTTTATGACCGCGGGAAGATCGGGCACGGAGCCCGCCCAGGAGGAATACCGCTTCTGGTTCCCAGCAGGATTGTCCAGCTCCAGGAAACTAAGGCCAGACACCAAGCCTGGACGGCCCCCTCTGACAAATGGGTCCCCTCGCAACACGTTGCTCTGAGTTCCTGCACAAGGAGAAATCAAATGAAGGAAGTCAGGATCCACAAATGAAAATGAGAACCTAAGCGTGAAACATCCATCAAGTATGAAGACACAACCCATCCAACTGTATGACATTCTGGAAATGGCAAAACCATGGAAACAGTAAAAAAAAAAAAAAAGTCAGTGGTTGCCAGGGGTGGGCAGTGGGAGGGAGGGATAGGTGGAGCACAGAGGGGTTTTAGGGCAGTGACGTTATTATCTAGGACACTCTAGTGGTGGATACATGTCATTATACATTTGTTCAAAGCCATAGAAGGTACTACAGCAGGAATGAACCCTCCGGTGAACTGTGGACTTTGAGTGATAATAGTGTGTCAATGTAGGTTCATCCGTTATGACCAATGTCCCTTATGGGACACTTGCTAAAATGTCAAAGGACTTTGGCAACCAAGAATTAACCAAAGAGAGAGGGTTGGAGGTGAACCTTGTAGTGCATACTGCCGCCTTCTCATTTACCTGAAGCCCATTTTAAAGCATTTTCCAGCTCCTTGCATTTGCTTGAAGAATGTTGAACAAACACAAAGTTGGCACTTTTGGATGAACATTCCTTCATACTTATTGATGAAACACCTGTTGGGAAAAATTAAAAGGTGCTGAGTTTCTGTATTTGTTGAAGACCTTTGAGACGTAGCCAGGTCTGATGAGAGTGAGGACCAGAGGATGTTTCCGACTACTGAGCCCGTCTAATCAAGAGTGACATGATACGGACATTTCCAAGTGCTCTACAAGAGTGAAGGGTCAAAAAGGGGATATTTGACTTATGTTTGATATTAAACAAAGGAACAGATACTACACTTACTTTCAAATGGTTGAGCCAATATTGGCTCCTGTTCATTTTGACCAGAGAGAGAATGAGGTGCTGGTGATTTCTACATGAAACAGCAGACAGAGCAGTAGTTAAATACCCCAAGGAGTGATATGTTTCACCCTCCAAAGTCAGCTTTTCAGGCATAAAGCAAATAGACTAAAGTAGACTGTGATGGCCTCCAGCCATCTACCGGAGACCCCAAAAGCTGGGTTCTGGTTCTTCAGCAATTAATTCTTAAAACCCTAGTTCTATAGCCTCTGTCTCTCCATCTTTAACATCGCTAGTTTCTAACATGTCCTTCCCCTGACTCAGAACCTTAGTATGTGAAAATTACCACTCATTATCCAATGCCTTTATTTTTTTAAAATGAGGATCTATAATAAAGTGTGGAAAGATATTTTTCTTATATAATTTTATTAATCATAATGACCTCAATATTTCTTAAAGAACAATTGGGGGCATATACAGGGTGGGGCAAAAGTAAGGTTACAGTTGTTTACATGCAAAATAATACAATAACTAATAAATAATAATATAAGAATAAACTCTGTGTTTTATGTACTCACAACTGTAAACCTATTTTTGCCCCCACCCTGGATCATATCCCAGGAGAGTTTACTCAAAAGAATACTTTTACCAACTTGAAAAGCTTTAAAAAAAATTCACAGGGTGGGGCAAAAGTAAGGTTACAGTTGTTTACATGCAAAATAATACAATAACTAATAAATAATAATATAAGAATAAACTCTGTGTTTTATGTACTCACAACTGTAAACCTACTTTTGCCCCCACCCTGTATCATATCCCAGGAGAGTTTACTCAAAAGAATACTTTTACCAACTTGAAAAACTTTAAAAAAAATTCTCTCCATTTCTTTTTTTTTTTAAATATATTTTATTGATTTTTTTACAGAGAGGAAGGGAGAGGGATAGAGAGTTAGAAACATCGATGAGAGAGAAACATCGATCAGCTGCCTCCTGCACATCTCCTACTGGGGATGTGCCCGCAACCCAGGTACATGCCCTTGACCGGAATCGAACCTGGGACCTTTCAGTCCGCAGGCCGACGCTCTATCCACTGAGCCAAACCGGTTTCGGCGTCTCCATTTCTTTTAAGTGCTAAAAAGAAATAAAGGCAGTAAACCTGATTTTAGATCAAGTCACTTTCTAGATTAATTTTCCAAGGAAATATTGTCTCTGTCGCTGCTACAAAAACCTGTGCTTGTGCAATTTATTTCCAACCTGTGAAATTAGGAAAGTTAAAATATTACTTAAATGTTAATTGGTAAAAATCAAGCCCAAAGGAAAAAACCAGGCAATGGAAACAGAAAAATATGGCAGTTCACCCACAAGAGAAACTACAAGACCTCCTCTGAACTCATGAAGAAGTCTTATCCTCACTCACTCTGAAACTTACCATGGAAGCAACCACTGTAAGTCTTGGAAACTACCTTGCATTCTCTCTAGTAAAAATATAATGAGCCAATCGGGGACATTTCCACCTGATTTCCTAATGACGGGTATTTCAAGTAGACACCTGACCTGAATCCTGCAGTATCAAATTTTAAACCTATTGTTCTAATTTTACCATCATATTTAGTAGCAGCTATTTATTAATTATTTCTTGTTATAGAATAGTAAACAAACAGTGCTGCCTAACTTTTTTAAAATGCTGCTTTAATGAAATATTGAAACATGTTTTTTTAAGAAAAGGAGTCTTACTGTCCTCCAAGGTTGTAAGGGCATCTTGACTGATAAGAAGCATCCTGAGGAGATGACTTGGAATGAAGAAGCAGGTGTGGGCATCAGCTTAAGGGCAAAGTTGTGAAGGGACAGGTTTTCCTGGAAACATTAGTAAACCAAGGCCAAAAGGTCTCTGAGAGGAAGAGTGGATACTAAGACACCACTCTCTCCCTTCCCACATTGGGGCAGCTGGTGAGGATCTACAAAATGCGAACTCAGTGGCATGCTCTGATTCTAGCAAAAACAAGGCATTCCTATCAGACACGTAGCAGAAGGAAAAAACTGAGCTGGCTCTAGAGCCAGTTGGACATTCTTATGACCTATATATGTACTCTTCCATTGGTCTCCATTTCTCAGTCTGTGGGACAAGAATTACAGTAGCTGTCTCACTGGGTAACAGTGAGAGTCATTGCTAAAACATGTAACTTGGCCCAGCCAGCGTGGCTCAGTGGTTGAGCATTGACCTATGAAACAGGAGGTCACGGTTCAATTCCCGGTCAGGGCACATGCCTGGTTGCAGGCTGGCTTCCCAGTGTGGGGCATGCAGGAGGCAGCCGATCAATGATTCTCTCTCATCATTGATGTTTCTATCTCTCTCTCCCTCTCCCTTCCTCTCTAAAATCAATAGAAATATATTTTAAAAAACCAACCAAAAAATTCCACATTTAAAAAAATATAAAACAAAACGCATTGATTTCTGCAATAATGGTCAATTCCTCATTAGCTTCCCCTGAGGAATAATATTTAATCTGAGAAATGGGAAAGGTTGAAAGGTGTTCTAAAAACCCAGTCAACACCCTATCTAGATAACCAATGATGATAATGGATTAACTCACATTTCAGGGCACTAAAAGAGTAGGCAGGCTTTTCTTAAAGCCTATAAGATTTTGAGTAAAATGTAATGGATTCTTGCCATTTGGGATGCCTTTGTAATTTAATTTCTATTTGTCTTATTTTAGAGCTTTAAAGTTTAACTCCATGCTATTCCCCATTTCAATCCCTGCAATGCTTGTACATAAAATTTTTAAAAAATACTCTTACCACTTTGTTTCATTTTTTCTGTGTCCACGTAAAAGAGAACTTTGTACTCTCCTCCTAAGGATCCAGACTGCAGAAAATGTGTCCCATACTTTTCGATTAATTGTCGGTAGGCGCTGTAGTCGTACAGAGAGGGGAGGTAGGAGAGTTCCCTCCAGAACGGCTCAGCGAGTTGTAAAAATTCCGGATTGTTATTGATGAACTGAGCCACTTCCACAGTGTTCTGAAGAACCAGCAATTGATAACTCTATGGGAAGAGGAAACAGTAAAAGGAGTTTTAGGTGGAAGATGAAAAGGTAATGGTGATAGTTCCTGTCCAATGTCTCCCTCAACTGCCTCTTCCTCAGCTGCCACCTTCAACCCAGTCTATATAAATTTTAATTCTGCTGCATGACAAGGTCTGTTCTGGGCCCACTCATTTGAAGCAATCCAAGGAATTTTTGGAATCCCAAGTAGGAACAATATCTGAGGGATGTCATGGTAACTTCTTTTAAAACCCCTGACCAAGTTGTTAATGTAGTTTGTCAACTACAAAAAGAGAACCAACTTAAATGCTAGATAATTTCACAAATAAGTATATGAAATAATGTGTCCTTAGGGTCCACATCGTTGGGTGGCCATATAATGATCTCCCATACTGAAGCATTTATAAGTTAAGCCATTTCATAATGAGGTCTTTTAACTACTTCTTAAGCATCTTTTGACGATGTTCAAGAACGATCTATCTTATACCAAATCCTCACTTGTGTGAACAATATGGATATGGCCAATGTTTCTATAGCTCATATTTCCACAGTTTCTTAGTCATAAAACCAATAAAATATACTTTTATACCTCTCTTGTGTGATTTATTAATCAAGTTACTTACTTTAAGAATGAGATAAAATATGCAGATTATAAATGATGATCAGCCTGAAATTTTTTTCAGCAATAAGTGTGTATCAAGTAGTACAATTTATGTCAACTGTTTAGATTGCCTGAGATGAAAGTTTTAACATTTCAAAACAACAAAGTATCTTAAGTCTTTTAACTTCCCTATGTGAAAATTTTGGTATCTCAAAAGTAATAAAGTATTTTAAATCTTTTCTATCATTAGCATTTAGGGAGTATATATATATCAATTGGATTTTTAAAATTATAACACTTAAAATAGTATCATCAGTAATCATGGATGAGAAATTTAGGAAAGTTTTAACTAGAAGATTTGAAGGTAAGCTTTTTTTTAGATCTTTAAATAAGTACAAATACTTTAATGAAAAAATGAAATTATAAATAAATATACCAAAGAGAATTAACAAGAGGAGATCATACCTTTTAAAGAAATATATTTTCTCTTTGAGGAAGATACTATTGCCCTATTTAAAAAATGAAAGCTGGTCCTTTTGTCAATGTTACAAATAACTAAACCAGTAAAATATGGAAAAGTTAACTTAATACATACTAACCTTTTTCTTCTGATTTTCCTGGTAATTTGAATTACTATTGAATAAAGAAGAAGATGATGATGAAAATCCGAAAAAGGAGCGTTTCCTTGTAGATGATGAAGTCACTGTGGATGTTTGTTTTACATAAGACCAGCTACTGTTGTAAAATTCATAATTAAAGTCATTATTTATTTTCACCTGTAAAGAAAATGAAAAATTTTGCTATAACCAAATTAAGACCTTGGACATAATCAAGAACCTTTTATCATAGATCCTTTAATATGGATACTTGCTTCCTACAATCTTCTAAAGACAAAGCTCTTTATTGACACAAAACAACTGTGCCTTGCCTTGGACAGTGTGGCTCAGTTGGTTGAATGTTGTCTTGTGCGCTGAAAGGTCACTGGTTCAATTCCCAGTCAGGGCACATACCAAGGTTGCAGACTCTATCCCAGGGCAGGGTGCATACAGAAGGCAACTGATCAATGTTTCCCTCTCTCTCCCTCTCCCTTCTTCTCTCTCTAAAATCAATAAAAACACATAAAAAATAAACAACAACTATGCTTCTCATTAAGACCAGGCCTGCATGAATATAAGGAATCAAGTTCATTCTGTAATTACTCTTTGTTAACATTGTTTGTGGGTAGTTTTTATCGCCTGCGCTCTACTACCAGTCAACTTAAACGTATAACTAAAATGTATAAAGTATAAATACGTTTCCCGCTTTCAATGAGTTAAGCCAGAAACATGGTATCAATAATGGCAATCCCAAGCGCTTCTCAAAATACATCTGTGGGATCCCCAGTAGGGGGCGTGCTGAAGGCAGCTGATCAATGATTCTCTCTCATCATTGATGTTTCTGTCTCTCCCTCTCCCTCCCTATCTGAAATCAATAAAAATATATTTTTAAAAAATATACATCTGTGTACAAACATCTTCCATTTTCCTTTACAGTCAACATTTAGCTCAGAATTGAGCAAATTAACAAAATTACACTAAAAAAAGAACTATAAAGCATTTGGTTCTTGATATATTTTTTTGTCTAACAGAGAGGGACAGAGATGCAAATAGGTTACATCATGCAATCAAATTACTTGGATTTTGTTTTGGAACATTCTATGTGATTCCGTAGTATATTTAACTTTCCAATTCTGTACAGTTTATGCGAGTAAGCCTCTTAGCTCCTTAGTTCAGCCATCTACTCTACACATAACTAACTGCAAGAATCATCTTTTTTCAATGCAATATGATCTTCTTAAACTTTCCTTAATTACATAAGAAACAGTTGGGAACAGCAATAAAAATGCCACCTACATCAGCATGAATGAAATTCAAAACCATAATTTTGAGTAAAAAAGACAATCCATGGAAGAACATATACCATATGCACCATTTATATAAAACTACAAAACAGTCAAAACGAAAACGAAACAGTCAAAACAGTCAAAACGAAACTATAAATTTTTATTTGGAGACAAAGATATAGGAAATACACATAATCAGAAAAACAAGGAAATGATTAATACACAAGGCGAGATAGTGATGGCCTGGGGAGTTGGGGAGAGGAGGACTGAGCAGAGAGGGGTAAGCGAGAACCTTTAAGTCACTGGTAATCTATTTATTTAGGTGGGTGATGGGCATATATGGGTACTTGCTCTATTAGTTTTTACCCAACTGCACATATATGTTATTCACACTCTTTTGTACATATGAAATCTTTCACAGTTTGAAAATAAAAACATGTTTCTGAGGAAATGATCATACCAGGGCCTTGACCTTTAACACCCATGCTGGGACAGACCAGGTGGTCCTGGGCCCATACAGAGCAGAGGCCAAATGAAAATGAGGCAAAAGGAGATTTCAGCTCAAATGACACAAGTTAAAGTACCCTTGCCCCATGCTCTAGGGTTACATAAGGGGTATTCTTTATAGATATATTTGTTTTTATTGATTTTAGAGAGAGAGGAAGTAGAGAGATAGAAACATCAATAAGAGAGAAACATCAATTAGCTGCCTCTTGCACAGCCCATACTGGGGATCGAGCCCGCAACTCAGGCATATGCCCTGACTGGGAATAAAATCGTGACCTCTTGGTTCATAGGTTGACGCTCAACCACTGAGCCACCCCAGCCAGGTTGGGTATTCTTTTTAAGTCCATATAAAACATTTATAAGAATTGACCACAGCCCTGACCGGTTTGGCTCAGTGGATAGAGTGTTGGCCTGCGGACCGAGCGGTCCCGTGTTCACTTCCAGTCAAGGGCATGTACCTTGGTTGCGGGCACATCCCCAGCGGGAGGTGTGCAGGAGGCAGCTGATGGATGTTTCTCTCTCATCAATATTTCTAACTCTCTATCCCTCTCCCTTCCTCTCTGTAAAAAATCAATGAAATATATATATTTTTAAAAATTGACCACATAGTAGGCACAAGTAAGCTCTCCACAAATACCCACCAAAAATATATATCATGTAAATAATGATTTCTGGCAACAACTCACAGGTGGGAAATAAGTAAAGTCAATGCAATTCAATACCTCAAATGTGTAGGAGAGGACATTGGCGCTCAGCCTGTAGTAGTCTGGTTTATCCCCACTGAACACCTTTCTGCACTGGCCGCCGAAACTCTTCGTGTTGATGACTCTGCTCCGGAACTGGCCGGTGAGTGCATTGTAACTGTTGTGGGTGTTTTTTTTAACAGGAAGAACAGATGGTTAAAAATCAGAAATAGCACTTGCTGGAAACGGCATCATTAGAGAACTCTAGAAATACATTACAGTTAAGTATGTCTTCGAAAGAGAGCTCAGATAAAGAGAACGGAATTCTAGTGCATACCCTACGTTCTCCAGCCTCCCATGCTTGGTATGGTAGTTAAAACTAATATCTGGGAAAAGCCAACCTCTTTCAGCCTAAGTACATGTTTGGGAAATATACGTCCTTGTGTAGCTATGGCAACAGCTGGCTTTGAATTGAATCTACAGATAAAACCAATACAATTACGATTACCTTCGAGGACAGAGAGCACTCTACAAAGAATTTCAACTGATTGCCTCTTAGCATGTTGCCTGGTGTCCTCTTTAGGGTAATTTTATCACTTCTCTATGAATGCATTTTGAAATATCATAGAAAAAAATCACATCTATCATTCTATAATAGATTTTTTAAAATATATTTTATTGATTTTTTACAGAGAGGAAGGGAGAGAGATAGAGAGCTAGAAACATCGATCAGCTGCCTCCTGCACATCTCCCACTGGGGATGTGCCCGCAACCAAGGTACATGCCCTTGACCAGAATCGAACCTAGGACCTTTCAGTCCGCAGGCCGATGCTCTATCCACTGAGCCAAACCGGTTTCGGCAATATAATAGATTATTTTAAAGCCTTGAAATCTTAACTTTGGTCTGACCCTTAAAAATTCTTCAGAATTCTTTTTGAAAAGACAAACACAGGATTTTCTCAACTTTACTTGGAAATAAAAGTCCCCAGCTCATCTGAGCAATTACTTTTTAGCCTGCATATGCCGATGCACTGCTCTCTTGCTCTCTCTCTCTCTCTCTCTCCCTCTTTCTCCCTCTCTCTCTCTCTCTCCAACAGGGTGACCGACTATGTGGATTTTTCCAGGTCTGTGAGGTTTCCTTGGATGCAAGACTTTCAGTGCTTAAACCAGGACAGTCCTGGGATAATTGGTCACTCCATATTTTACTGCATATGTATTTATGGGTATACAGATAGGAATTAAAAAATTGTTTCAGGATGTAGCAAAGAGCTCTGAGCCAGAGGCTTGGCTATTAGGTGATTTGCTATTAGACTTACCAAAAAATAATAACAAAACAAAAAAAATGAAGAATTATAACCCACCAATATGCACAGGTGGCTGCCCAGCCCCTTACCCATTTCCAGTAAGTTCAATGTTGGGAGGAGGTTTATCGAGGTCACAGGAACGTCTGCTGTCTGTGTCCTCACATCCATCCTCATCGGCGCCATCTTCATCACAGTCAGAATCCCCGTTGCAAACCAGTGACTTGCTGATGCATTGGCCTGACCACGAGAAAAGCACCCACACAAAAATAAAGGAGGGCAGAAAGGGAACACCACGTGGGATCAAATCGTCCGCCCGCAACCCCCAGGATGCACTGGCCTTTCAGTGTGAATTTAACATCCATGTCCCGGAAGGACTGGTGATTATTTTGGTCCTCATTCTGCAACACACAGAATTGACTCTGACCTTGGCCAGACACAAAACTGAAAATAAAGCCTGAATTCCGATTCCAGGCTTTCACTCATGAGCATCAACAAGTTTGTCTGAGTCCTCCAAAACCAGACCATGCCAACCACTGGGAGGACAGATTGACCTCCTGCCCTTGAACTTTCAGCTTCTTTTCTGGAATCACTGACCAAGATGCCAAGTCCTGCTTTTCTTGGTGACCTAGATGTGTGAGCTTTGAGAGCATGGCAACCGAGCCACAAGGTTACAGCTCAACATTAACACCTACTCTGTTTGAGAGACTCTTCTGGATATGGGGATACAAGTATGAATAAAAATGGTATTTGTTAGGTTTTTAGTACATTTTACAATGTCACAGGAAAGATATAAAGACATAGATCATTACAATTCAACAACATGATTGTCACAGTAGACATACCCGCAGGGTTCCCAGGATGCACTGGAGGGTACAAATGATCAAACCCCCGCCAACCTCCCCAGCATCCTCTGCAGCCACTCGGCCAGCTTCCCATGCCCTAGTCATCCTGGATCACTTCCATGAATAAAGGCCAGGCTTTCCCTCGTCTCCACTGACCTTGCACTTACAGTTCTCTCAGCCTAGAAGGGTTTCCTCTACCTACCACCTGCTTGTCTTCAATAATCAAATGACACATGGTCTCCTTGCAGAAACCATCTCTACCCCACAGGCTGCGATGCACGTCCTTCCACTTGTCCCTCCACGCTGTCCTGACGGGATAGCACACACCCGCTATGCCACCCCTCAAGCCCATGCAGCAAACATTGGTTGAGAGTGTACCAGGCACTCCAGATGCAAAAACCACGTGGGGTACAGGTCCGGGCAAAAGTCGGTTTACAGTTGTTCATATGGAAAATACAATAATTAATAAATAAATAATAATGCAAGAACAAACTCCTTGCTTTGCGTACTCATAACTCTAAACCTACTTTTGACCACCCTGCATGTCTTCAAAGAGTTCAGTCTGCCAAGAGACATCCAGGCCAACCAATAGTCCAGATTGCAGATGTACATAGGAAACACGGAAGTGATTTGTTAATTAGTTCTCTTGGTTAGAGGTTCAGGAAAGGCTTCTCAAAGGAGGTGTCATGTAATTTGGGCTTTGAAAGTAAAATAGGAGTTTGACAAGTATTTCTAAAGAACACTTCAAACACAGGGATTATTTATGTACTATTCTGTCCATAAAACTTTAAAAATTTTTTTGAGGGAAGAGGCTATGTGTTTTATTTCTAAATCCACAACCCTTATCACTATATCTGGAACATAATGAAGAAGAATAAATGCTTGCTGAAGGTTGTTGAATTAATCTGATTCTATAAATGCAACATAGACAATAAATCAAATAATAATGGAAAAACTTTGTTTCAATCACCCATGCATAAGGGTGACTTGTATTGCTCCTCAATTAGCTATTAGAGTTGCTTTTCTTATAAACATAATAATGATTTTGGTAGTAACATTTTTTCCCAGTCTCAGTGCAATGTCAAGAACTATTTTGTGTGTTTTTTCAAAGAGGCAAAGAATCTTCCCACTTTTATTACCATATGCCTCCCTTTACATTTAAAAGAATAGTAGCTGAGTGTGATTATCGTGCCAATAAAAATGATACTGATATTTGAGGAAAATTAATTTATAGGTCAGTATAAATTCAATAAAATTCAACAAATATATACCGAGCAATTTAAACAAATAACATTTGAGTTTACACTCCGCCTATGGAAAACCAGTACCTGAAAAACACCTGAAACGCTGTCCACATCCCTCTTCCGTTGGACATCCTTGTGTAGGTTTACACGCTTGTGTCTGAAAAGCACTTCCGGCACAAGGGTGGCCACCATACTGTGCATAAACATCAATCATCCGCCTGCGAGTCTAAACAAAGAACAGGTAGTGCTTATCGATAACTCCAGATTCCTTTATCTGAGAAATAAAATCTGAGAAACATTAATACAATTGGAGAAGCAATGTCTGGGAAATGGTCCTGGATCCCACAGAAGTAAAACCTACAAAATCAATGAACCCACAGACCCACTGGTCCTTGAGTCCAGTGACACTTGGGTTATGATTACAGATAATCTACACTAATAAAAGACAAAGATGCTAATTGACCATACCTTCGCTACACCCACCAGCCAATCAGAGTGACTATATGCAAATTAACCCAACCAAGATGTCAGCTAATTTGCATATACCAGCTGGGAGGGAAGACTGAAAACAAGGTGGAAGTGAAGCGCTACAAAAGGGAGCAAAGTAGAGGCGGCGGAGACAGGAACGGAGCCACGGCAGCGGAGGCGGGAGGCGGGAGGGAAACCAGCTGTGCGGTGGAGCAGGAGGGAAAACAAACCATCCGCGCACACGGCGGAGCAGGAGGGAAAACAAACTAGCCACGTGGCAGAGCGGGAGCGAAGCCTGCCTCAGCGGGTTTCGCTCCCTTCTCTGCTTCACTCCAGCCACAGGAAGCCCTATTCTTGCAGGAATCTTCCTGCAACTGGCCTCTAGTATATTATATTTATATATGTGTATGTATATATTTACTCTCAGGAGTGAGTGCTAAAAAATATATTATAGAATCTTTAAGAAAATAACCTGAAAGAATTAGCTGGGTAAACATGTATGCAAATAGACTGCAATGTAGAAGATTAATGTCTTTGCCAAAGCTTTGTACCAAGAGCTAATTAGAAGGGCGACAATGAATTTGGCTGGAGAGAGGGCAATGGTTTTGGGAAGAGGGTTGAGATGAAGTGGAGTTATGGAAAACTTTGGAAACATGGTGGCAATTGATTTGAACTGAATGTTAATCCTTTGTCAGGAAGGCAAGTCAAGGCAAAACAATCCAGAGAGAAATGTGATCACATAGAAGTCAAATTTACAAAACAGAAGCCTGGCCTGTGTGGCTAAGTGGTTGAGCATTGACCTCTGAACCAGGAGGTCACTGTTCGATTCCCGGTCAGGGCACATGCCGGGATTGCAGGTGGGGGGCTTGCAGGAGGCAGCCAATCAATGTTTCTCTTTCATTGATGTGTCTATCTCTCTCTCCCTCTCCCTTCCTCTCTGAAATCAATAAAAAATATATTTTAAACAATTTTACAAAATAGAAGCCTTAGTAGTCCAAAGGTGAAGCTGCATCTACAATAGGATGTTAGGAAAAAATCAAAATCCTTGATGTCTAAAATGGAAACTAGCTCAAAAGCAAACCTCTAA